TCAAAAAATTACAAATGAAACTACCTTATGATCCTTCAATTCCAGTTGTGCAAATTTACCCAAAGAAATGAAAATCATTATCATTATGTCAGAGATTTCTGCACACCAATGTATATGGCAGGATCTTTCACAGTAGCCAAGATATGAAATCAACTCTGGTGCTGGACAACAGATGAATGGTTCAAGATAATGTGGTGCAGATACATGAGGAATACTAGTCATCCATAAGAAATGAAACACTGTTATTTGTGGCAATGAGGGTGGAAATGGAAGACACTATGTTAAATGAAGTAAGCCCAGAGAAGAAAGTAATAGACCTTGTTTTTTCACTCATATGTGGAAGCAAAAAAAAAGAAAAGAAAGAATAAAAAAGGTCTCCTAGAAGTAGAGAGTAGAACAGAGGATTCTAGAGGCTGGGAAGGGTAGTGGAAAGGGGAAGATAGGCAGAGATTTGTTATAGAATGCAACATTACAGTTAGGTAGGAGGAATAGATTATAGTATTATTTGCCACTGTGGGATGAATATAGTTAACAGTAATATGGAGTTTCAAAAAGGTAGAAGAAGTATGTTAATACTCTCAGTAAAACGAAAAGGATTGCGATGATGGATATGCTAATTACCCTAATCTGGCCCTAATATACTTTATGTATCAAGACATCACTGTGTGACTCATGAACATTTACAATTATTATCTGTGTATTATAATTATGTTTAAAATAACAAAATTCATTGGAAGTGACATAAACGGAGGCTCTGGGACAGATGTGGGGATAAAGGCAGCCACTGGAATACATGCCTAACATGTCAATGGGAAAAGGAGCTTCCATTAGCATTTTCTATTTTTAGCACTGAGTAGATCTGACATTTCTCAAAGCTTCCCTCTACAATAGAGAACTGAGGTCCGGGGAGGTCTTGCACACAGTCAGGTATGCAGAGGGAAGCAGCAGGAATAGAGGGTTGCTGGCCCGTTCAACAGTAGTAAGAAAGATCTTTATGCATGTGGAGAGGTCAACGTTGTTTTAAAATAAATTTCATCACTAAAATACATGAAAAAATTTCCAACAGAAATTCTTAAATATTATTGGCAGTGAAACTGTTTTTTGTGAAGAAATGTTCCCGAAGTTAAGTGAGCCAGTAAAGTTGTTAAGAACTACAATAAACATTGGATTGGATTCAGCTTTATCTGAATTCAATGTGATTATTACTGGCTCAGGTAAGGGTCAGACATCAAGATAGACAGGTGGTAACAACCAGAGAAAGCCATGGACCAGAAAGATTCACAGCCAGTATTTTTTTCAGATTTAAATAAGAGTTGCACCAATCCTACTGAAACTATTCTCAAAACCTGAGGAGGAAGGACCACTGCCTGAATTATTCTATGGGAACAGTATTCTGATAACAAACCGTGACAGAGACTCAATTAAAAAAAAAGAAAACGTAACTTTAGGCCACTATTCCTGATGCAAAAATGCTCAGTGAAATACTGACAAACTGAACACAGCAGCACATTGAATAGCTAATCCACCATGATCAAGTAGGCTTTGCTCCTGGGATGCAAGGTTGGTTCAGCATATGCAAATCAGTAAATGTTATTCATCATGTAAGCAAAACTGAATACAAAAACCATGTTATCATCGAGACAGATTCAAAAAATACTACTAGCCTATTAGGATGACTAAAACACGCAGTATAGAAAATACCAAATGGTGATGAGGAAGCTGAGAAACTCCTAGGAACTTTCACTCCTTCCTGGTGGAAATTCTAAAATGGCACATAGACAACTACAGTTAATATTTTAGTGTATATTTTTAAAAAGTAGAAAACAAGATTTAGAATGTTCTCAACACAAAGAAATAATCGATTCTTGAGCTGAAGGATATTCCAGTTATCCAGATTTGATCACTACACATAATACACTTTTATCAAAATATCACATGTACCCCTTACAGGTTTTGTAGTATTCTGTATCTACATAAATTAAACATGAGAAAACCCCAATGCAGGGGAATCCAGCTAATTGCAGATTCCTATTATGTGGAATGTTCTGCATAATCTGCAAACTAATCAGAATCGTTGGGTTTGGAAAGGACTTTAGAAATCTACTAGACTGTTTGTTTGTAAAGATAAGTCCCCAAAGTTGATTCTCCCAGTGTGTGGCGAATTTGAACATAGAAGAAATGCTAACATTTGTTTCTGCTAAGTTTACTTATAGTGTCAACAGAAAAGGTTTTCAGAGAGGAATCTGGCATCTTTCAAGTCTCCACTTCAATGTGGTTACCTCAGCAAATAATTTCCGATACCCCTGACAAGGACAGGTTCCTATAAGCTACTCAGGATCTTCTGGGGCTGTGTCACCAGGCATGGTCCTCACATTTGGCTCAGAATAAATCTCTCTAAGTATTTTGCAAAGTTGGACTTTTATCAATACTTCTAAGAAGAGCTACTCTCTGGTCTTTTATCCATTCACAAGCATGACATTAATAAAGTGTTAGTAAAATTAAACACATGCTGGCAATTTCTTAACGAGTTACATGTAGACTAACTGTGGGATCAAGTGTAAATGTTTAAAAGTACTTAAGCAAATTATTTCAAAATTAATGTTCCCCAGATACTTCTCTCAGATTCCTTATGACCTCTAATTATTTATTTTATGATTATTTCAACTTTTGTAGATGATCACACCCTATCTTATCTAGGCATTTATTGTAGGAAATTGTGTGAAGCTAATCAGGGATACATTTGAAAGTCATTGTCCCAGTGGCAGCCAGAACTGAAGTGTGTTTCCTCTGCAGACACCAGACACTCAGATTCCTCCAGTGACATCTTCATTTTATTTCCTGCTTGGCTTTGGGCCTTAATCCTTTGCTAAACAGAGAGACTCTGTCTTTCAGATCCCCCAGGTCGTGCCAGAGGTACGTGGACCTGAGTGTTGACAATGAGTTGGGAAGGGTTGCACTGAATGGGCACTCTGCTTTTCTGAGGAGGGCATACTGCTGGCTGACATCACAGTCCTGGCTCAGGGTGTGTCCTTCCAAGTATCCCTGAGCCTCCTGCAGGTGCAATGCTGATCCATGTGCCTTCCTCTTTCTCCTGGGGAGAGTCTCTCCTTGGTTGTTTATTCCCCAGATCTTCCAGCAGCCACTAAGTCTTCCCACTGATGTCTTCAGCTTTCTTTTTTCTGCCCCTTCCATGAGGCTGCTATTTCTGAGAAAATGAGAGGAGGTGGGAGATGAGGCTGTCATTCCTAAGAGAATGGACAGAGCTTAGGAGCTTTTCTTTCTTCTATCCCAGTTTCTAGGGTTCCTCCAGTGCCAGCAACACAGAGGTGTTAGCGTCTTTGCCCCTGCAGGTGAAAGCTTTGGTAATGCAGTGGTGGCAGGGGAAGTGGTTCTGGATACATTTCAGCCACAGCTGCTGTTCTGTTTTCCCACACAGAAGCATCTCGGGAGGTAGAGGGTGGAGATTTCTGTGACGTATCCTCAATGCTGGCAGAAAAGGTTTCAGTAGCCGTAGGAATCCCTCAGTTGTGCGTGCTCTGAGAATTTAAACAATAACTTCACTGCACTAAATTTTAAATAATTTAAAGAAAATGTTCAGTTTAATCTTGTTTTATCTTATGTGACATTTGCTGGCCTCTGCCCTACAAACGGTCATATTCTCTCCCTGTTTGTTTTTGTAAATCACTGAGTTTCTCAAGATGTAAGGCCTCTTGTTTGTCCTATAACATCAATAATCTGATGTACTAAAGAAAACACGCCAATTTGCAGCTCAGTAAGATCGGTTGTAAAATAACATACTTTTCTTGGATGCCTGTATCTCCATGCTGACTATAAACTTCATTTTTAATACTAAAATCTAGAAATAACATAAATGTTATGGTCCTTTATAAATAAATAACAGGGGTGCTCTCATTAACTGCAATGCTGCTCCTCATTAGGATCAACACATTTTAATACACAACCAAATTACTGGCTCACAAGTAATTAGGCTGAGGAAGAAGCCACAGAAGTAAAATTGAAGCTACAAGATTTCACTTTAACAAAATCTTGAAAAATAGATCTAAAGTAACAAAGATGAAAGTTTGTCTCAGTACAATAAGAGGGAAATGACTGGAAGGCAGGAATCGGGAAGAGACGGAAGCTTTTAAGTGTAGTTCATTGGTATCTTGACGGTTATATGGGCTGCACAGGTGAGCACATGTGAAATGACGTGTTTTCCTTTGAAGACATGGCCTTGCTTTGTCATCCAGGCTGGAGCTCAGTGGTAAGATCACAGCTCTCTGCACCCTCAGACCCTGGGTCTGCAGCAATCCTCCTCCCTCTTCCTGCATAGCTGGGACCACAGGTGTGCACCACCAGGCTCAGCTTCAGTGCTTATTCAACTGCACACATTCATTATGCAATATTTATTATGCAGCAATAATGCCTCAATAAGGGTATTGCCAATAAGCGGATAAATAATTTGTTAAAGATTGATGACAAGATAGACACCAATATAAAATATGTATGACACTCGAGAAAATGCAACTGTAGAAAACGTGCTTTTCTTTACATTTGTTAGGTAGTCACAGCAGTGTGTACACATCACATCATGTTCTCATTACAGAGAAACGGTTCTGCAAACCTCACTGGGTGCCACCCACTCTGTGCTGGGCTTGGATCAAGGAGAAGTCGGGTCCAGTGGTGAGAAGCACAGGCCCAGGTACACAGGTGCACTCTGACCAAATGTGAGCTCTGGGGACATTGTACAACCCACCTGTGCTTTTCCTGGTAATTTTTCATCTGTAACATGAAAATAACATTGATACCACATACCATGTTTTCTCTGCATATGTAAACCTAAAAGATGATTGGTGCTAACTTTAAATATATGTGGTTTATATAGATTTATTGTACCTCAATAAAACTGTTTTAAAATAGAAATTAAAATATATAGGTTTCATGGGTTTTAAGGGTTTATCACAGAACAAACTTACAATAAGAAACCACAATTACCAATACTATCAATGTCACAAATCTCCCCCAGGACACTGTCCCGTGCTCTGAGCCCCGATCTCTCCTCACACCTGTCACTACAGATCTTGCTATATAGCAAAAGGCATGCAAATAGAGCCCTCCCTCTGCTGATGAAAACCAGCCCAGCCTTGACCCTGCAGCTCTGGGAGAGGAGCCCAGCCCTGGGATTGTCAGGTGTTTGCATTTGGTGATCAGCGCAGAACACAGAGACTGAACTCACCATGGAGTTTGTGCTGAGCTGGGTTTTCCTTGTTGCTATTTTAAAAGGTAATTCATGGAGAACTATTGAAATTGAGTGTGAGTGATAAGAGTGAGATAAATGGTGGATATTTATGAAACTTTCTGACCAGGGATTCTTTTTGTTTGCAGGTGTCCAGTGTGAGGTGCAGCTGGTGGAGTCTGGGGGAGGCTTGGTTCAGCCTGGGGGGTCCCTGAGACTCTCCTGCGCAGCCTCTGGATTCACCTTCAGTAGCTATGGCATGCACTGGGTCCGCCAGGCTCCGGGGAAGGGGCTGGAGTGGGTCTCGGCCATTAGATATGATGGTGGCAAGACATACTACGCAGACTCCGTGAAGGGCCGATTCACCATCTCCAGAGACAACGCCAAGAACTCGCTGTATCTGCAGATGAACAGCCTGAGAGCCGAGGACACGGCCGTGTATTACTGTGCGAGAGACACACTGAGGGGAAGTCAGTGTGAGCCCAGACACAAACCTCCTGCAGGAACACTCGGGGACGTCAGCAGCAGGGGGCGCTCGGGAGCCACTGATCAGAGTCAACCCCAGAGGCAGATGCAGATGGAGGCTGATTTCCTGTCAGGATGTGGGACTTCATCTTCTGACAGTTTCTCTAGTGAATCTCTCTAAATTTAGAATTCTGTGCTTCCTAATATCTCTACCTTTTTTTGTAAGGATCGAGAGAGAAGAAAGAAAAGCTCCAAAGCTCTATCCATTCTTTCCGGAATGACAGCCTCATCTCCCACCTCCTCTCATTTCCTCAGGAATAGCAGCCTCGTCTGCTGGGAGGGGCAGAAAAGAGGAAGCTGAAGACATCAGTGGGAAGTCTTAGTGGCTGCTGGAAGACCCATTGTTCAAATCTGCTCTTGTTGTCTGTGCCTTTAATGTGAAATATAGGAAATCTCTGTTAACATTATTTCTGGGTGAGGGAAATTGTACAACTGCAGGTTATGCATTAACAATTTAGCCCATTTAGAGTTAATTTTTGTGTTTATTCTAACCTAAAATTCTTAACTCTTTGCATGTGTAAATCCAGTTTTGCCAGCACCCTCTTAGGGAGAGACTTTGGTTTATCCGTTGTATATTGTTGGTTCTCATGCTGAAAATCAGATTGCCCTCAGTGTACCAGTTTATGTCTGAACTCTCAATATATATTTCTGCCTATCCCATCTTGTTTTTGTTACTCTACTTTTGTAATTACTTTTGGAATCTGGAAGTAAAATGCCTTCAAGTTTATTCTTGCCTTGTTACAGATACTCTAGCAAAATATTTTAACATTTTGCTAATTAATTAAGTATGATAACAGATATGGCTTTTCATAATGACCTTTATCATATACAGATTATATACATTTGTTCTTTTTAGAGTTTTTATTATGAAATCTTGATTTTTAAATGTTATTTTCTGTGTCTAGTGAGAAGTTAATGGAAATTTTTTTCTTTATTCTCTTAGTTAAGCACATCAAATGTATTGACTTGAGGATATTGAGTCATCTGTGCATCGCAAAAACAAATTTTAGTTTGCTATGGTGTATAACTCCCTCCTTTTTTTTTTCGAGACAGAGTCTTGCTCTGTCACCCAGGCTGGAGGGCAGTGGTGCAATCTTGGCCCTCTGCACCCTCCACCTCCCAGACTCAAGTGATTCTCCTGCCTCAGCCTCCCAAATAGCTTGGATTACAGGCCTGTGCCACCACACCCGGCTAATTTTGTATTTTTACTAGAGACGAGGTTTAACATATTAGCCATGCTGGTCGTAAATGTCTGACCTCAGGTGGTTCATCACCTCGCCCTCCCAAAGTGCTGGCATTACAGGTGTAACTCACTGCACCCAGTCGGTGTATGATCCTTTTAAAGTCCTCTAGAACTTAGTTGACTATTACTTGGGAGTAGTTTACTTATGCATACTAAGAATATTTGAAGTGTAACTTTCTTCTTTTGCCATTGTCTATTACTGGTAATATGGTTATTGTAGCCTTTTAGAGAGAGTTGAGAAGGCTGGAGCCTCACCAATTTTTGAAAAAGTTAGAGAATAGTTGGCATTGTTATTTTTTTAATTTTCAAATTCAGTATTTATCTAACATACACCTATCATAAAGAATATTTATTGTGTGCTTGGGATGCATGTATATTACACTGCTCTTGGTTGGAAGGTTCTGTAGATGTTTATTAGGTCAGGTTGTTCAATAGCATTGGGTAAACCCACTGGTTTCCTAAGAATGTTTTGTGGATGTTCTATACATTATTGAGGGTGAGGTGTTGGAGTCTCCTCCATTTATTGTTTCTATTTCTACCTTCATATCTCTTAAAGCTGATCAATACAGTTATACTTCTATTTTTACAAGTATGTAAAATAGAAATAAAATAATTGCTTAGTAATTTTAATGGGAAAATCACATAACAAAAAATTATGTTTCCCGAATGCTGCCATCACTGCTACACTCCTCCAGGAGTCTCACGTCTGCTCTGGGCTTCACTCTCTCCTCAGAGTTTGCTACAGAGGACGAGACACAAATAAGACCCTCCCCCTCCTGATGAAAACCAGCCCAGCCCTGAACCTACAGTTCTGCAGAAGAGCCCCAGTCCAGAATTACCAGAAATTTTGATTTGATCATCAGCTCTGAACACAGATGGCTCTCCATATAGTTAGGGCTGAGCTGGGTTTATCTTGTTGCTATTTTAAAAGGCAAATAATGGAGAACTAGAGATATTGAGTGTGAGTGAGTAAATATGAGTGAAAAAACATGATTATATGCAACAGTTTCTTATCAAAATATCTCTATGTTTGTAGGTGTCCAGGGTGAGGTGCAGGTGGTGCAGTCTGGGGAAGAGGCAGGAGGCAGAAAAGTGCATAGGAGGCCGGGCGAGGCTGTAGACAGTATCAGCCCACTATGCCAGTCCAAGAAGCTTGATGTGAGAGCCTCCGGGATTGAATAATTTGACAGCTCATGTGCCCAGGCAGTTTCATTTCTCAACTTTCCACACTGATATAACCAGAAGTCAGCTTCTCTTCCCAGGTGACTCCCATCATGCAGTGAATGGTGACACCATTCCCAGGGGTCACACACATGTATTAAGTATTGGCTGGACGTGGGGAAGAGACATTTTTGCAACTCTCCTCTGAAGGACCAGGAACACCTCAACAGACCATCTCCCCTGTTCTCATGACTAGAACTTCACCACAAGCCCACATATACACTCATCCCTTATGGGCTTAAAAGGATTCCATTGATGAGGGTGACTGTTTTATTACATAAAATTACTAAAGACTGACATAAAATTTTCAGAACTAATTGAAGTCTGTTACTCTACGTCCACCAGAGACTACAGATCTTCAATGGCATCTTCCTTGTCTTTTCTACCTGACTTTGTCTCTTCACCTTATTCTGTCCTCCAGACAATCTCTTTCAGCTCCCTCAGGTTCATGCATTTGTTTTATTTACCGACAATTTCTAAATCAGTGCAAGGCATTAGACTAAAGGCTCTATATTCCTAGGTCCATATTCCTTGGTCCATATTCCTAAGAAGGCTTTGTGACCCTGTATCTGGGCCTGAGCTTGCGATTGTTCCTGATCCTTCTCTAGATGACATGCTGGTCTGTGTTTTCTTGCCCCTTCCCCTGGGGTAGAGTCTCCCTTTTTCCCCGAGGTGTTTTCTCCCACAGCTCCAGTGTTCTCCACCTGTGTCATCACCTTCCAGATCTACTGCCCTGCCCTGCAGACTAAGGCTCTGATACCATAAGAAACAGGGGAACTGCTTCCCAGTACAATTTTGGTGGGGAAACGTGTTCCCATCTCCATTCCTGATAGGTTGCAGCAGTGCCTTTAGGGTATGTGTGTTGGTGGATTTCCCCTGCAGAGTAATTTCTTAGTTCTGTAGTGGGGATAAGACAAGACAGTTGGGCTTGAACACATTTCAGAAGTACGGGCTCTCATATTCTTTCAGACAGACACTTTGGGAAGGGAAGATTTTTGTGACTGTTCCAATTATAAAGAAAGGGAAAGGTCGATCCCAAGATGGCTGAATAAAAGGCAGCTCCAGAAAGCAGCTCCCAGCCAGAGAGGTGCAGAAACCAAGTGGTTTCCACAATTCCAAACGAGTTACCAGGTTCATTGTGTGGGTCTGGTAGGACAGTGAATATAAACCCCAAAAGCAATGGCAACAAAAGCCAAAATAGACAAATGGGATCTAATTAAACTCCAAAGTTTCTGGATAGCAAAGGAACAATTATTAGAGGGAAGCAGCAACCCAACAAAATTGGAAAGATTTTTGCAATCTACCTATCTGACAAAGGGCTGCAATCCAGAATCTACAAAAAACTAAAACAGATTTACAGAAAAAAAAACCCATTCAAAAGTGGGCAAAGGATATGAACAGACGTTTTACAAAGGAAGACAACTATGAGGCCAAGAAACATTAAAAAAAAAAATGCTCATCAACACTGGTCACAAATGAAAACCACATTGAGATACCATCTCACAGCAGGTAGAATGGTGATCATTAAAAAATCAGGAGACAACAGATGCTGGAGAGGATGTGGAGAAATAGGAACACTTTTACACTGTTGGTGGGAATGTAAATTAGTTCAAACATTGTGGAAGACAGTGTGCCAATTCCTCAAGGATCTAGAAATAGAAATACTATTTGAACCAGCAATCCCATTACTGGGTATACACCCAAAGGATAATAAATCATTCTATTATAAAGACACATGCATATGTATGTTCATTGTGACACTTTTTACAATAGCAAAGACTTGGACCCAACCTAAATGCCCATCAATGATAGGCTGAGTAAAGAAAATGTGGCACATACACAACCTGGAATACTATGCACCCATAAAAAAGGATGAGTTCATGTCCTTTGCAGGGACATGGATGAAACTTGAAACAATCATTCTCAGCCAACTGACACAAGAACAGGAAACCAAACACTGCATGTCCTCACTCATAAGTGAGTGTTGAACAATGAGAACATATGGACACAGTGAGCGAATGGGGGACCTGGGGGGTGGGGAAACAGGAGGTAGGGGGATTGGAGAGGGAATAACATCAGGAAAAATACCTAATGTAGATGACGAGGGGATGGATGCAGCAAACTACTGTGGTATGTGTATACTTAGGTAACAATCCTGCATAATCTGCACACGTACCCCAGAACTTAATGCATATAAAAAAAGAAGATTAGTAGTTTTCTGTGAATATGTTGGAAGAAGGGAAGGAGAAAGAATAAGAAAATGTAGAAGGACAGAACAAAATTTGAGGTAATTTAATTTGTCCACTTTCTTGATAATGGTAATAATTATGTCATGATTATCAATTTTATACTTTAAATCTGTAAAGTGTATAATCTGTCAATCAAACCCTATAAAATTTATAACAATGAAACAAGTTGAGTATCAGACAAGACAGGAGTGGCAGAAAGATAGATGCCAGTATTTTCATTGTCCGAGATCTATCTGAACCCTAGTTCTCTCCGTAGTCTTAGGTAAACAAAAGAATACAGCAAAATCACATCAATTCTGATCAAGCAGTGGCTTCTGCAAACCACACTAGGCATGTGCAGGTCTGTCCTGGAGTTGGCTGAGGGAGCATTCAGGGCCGGTGGTGAGAAGCGCAGGCCCAGATACCAGCACTCGCTCATCCCAGACATGAACCCTGAGATACATATGGAGCCCGACCATGTGTGGGCTTACTTTCACATCTGTAAATAGAGAACATTGACTCCTGTGGAACATAATTTACATGCATAGATAACACTGAAATAAGGCGATCAGTGCAAAGTTTCTATCACAGTACAATTTAATAATAAGCGCATTTTCTCAAACCCTGGTTTTGCCACCAGTTTTCCTCAGGACACCCTCATCTGCTCGGGGCCCTGCTTGCTCTTTACGTGTCTCACCCCACAGCTTGCTATATAGCTGGAGACATGCAAATAGGGCCCTCCCTCTGCTGATGAAAGTCAGCGCAGCCCTGACCCTGCAGCTCTGGGAGAGGAGCCCAGCCCAGGATTCCCAGGTGCTTCTGCTTGCTGATCAGGAGGCACACAGGGCACTCACCATGAAGACTGAGCTGAGCTGGGTTTTCCTTGTTGCTATTTTAAAAGGTAATTCATGGAGAACTGTTGAAATTGAGTGTGAGTGATAAGAGTGAGATAAACGGTGGATATTTGTGGCAGTTTCTGACCAGGGTGTCTCTGTGTTTGCAGGTGTCCAGTGTGAGGTGCAGCTGGTGGAGTCTGGGGGAGGCTTGGTTCAGCCCGGGGGGTCCCTGAGACTCTCCTGTGCAGCCTCTGGATTCACCTTCAGTAGCTATG